AAAGCATGGCACCCCTAAGAAAAAGGATATATCTGTAACACTCCCCCCGCCCCCCACGTTCTAGGCCACACAGGGCTGCACACACAGGGGCTCCCTGGGCCTCGGAGTGAAATGCAGCTTCTCTAGCTCACACAGGAGGACGCCTGCCATCCCAGACAAGTACCTTGCCCTCACGTAGTTTCGTTCTCCATCTTTTAACTCTTGGAGCAGGAAATGAGAGCTCAGAGAGACCAGGGATTTTCCTTAGTCAAGTCTCTGACCTAATTTATTTACATAGAACCAGGCTGATTTATTAATAGAATTGGTTAAGTGACCAGGTCTACAAATGATCATTGAACATATTACGGTTAAGATATGAACTAGAACAAAATAGTCACAGAATGATTTTTCTGCCAATTGCCAAAAATCATAACTTCCTCCTATTTGTTCATTAAATGGGTTTGATAAGATCACCTGTGGTGGTATCTGTCCTTAAGCTTTTTTTTTTTTTTGTTAACAAATTTTAATGAAACTTAAATTTGTGTAATAGGTATGGGGTTGTTCAAGTTAACTTCCTCTCATTATTTTTCTTTATAATTGGCACACATTAAGTATTTTAAATGCACAGTTTGTTCAGTTTTGACTTATACATTCATTTCTGAAAGCACCATGTCATTAAGCAGAGATTCATGATTACATGTGAAGGTGGCCACCGCCCTCCTGTGACCCCTCCCCCTGACACTTTCCTCTCCCCTCTCTGGCTATAACCAGGCAGCCCCTGACCTGTGGACAACATTGGGTTATCTTCCCTTTGGAGCTGTTAACACTTAGCCAAACTCAAGCACCAGTTTTTTTAGATTTATTTATTTTTACACTCTATATTTTACATTATTCTTTACTTTCATAGTATGTATGCTTTATCATCTCGTGTATGGTTTCCCCAGGAAATTTCCGCCACCAATTCACCCATGTACCCTCACCGTAGTCCCTTAGGCACTTTTCACCCCTGTTTTTTTTTTAACCCTTGTTTTGATTCAGTTTCCACTCCCTCCCTTTCTCACTCCCCCCCCCTCCCAAGATTGTTCTGGTTTATAGTTGAATGTTGGTTTTGGTTTTTACTTTCTAATAATTAATCATTACTCCTAATCTCTTATTTGCCCCCCCCTACATTCCTTCTATATGAGAAACCATCTGGTAGTTTTCTTTTTCTTTCTGGCTTATTTCACTAACCATTATCATCCCTTCCAACTCCATCTGTGTTGCTGCAAATGGAGTGAGTTTATCTTTTTGATTGCTGAGTAATATTCCATTATGTGTATGTACCACATCTTCTTCATCCAGTCATCTATTTTTGGGCATTTGGATTGTTTCCAAAGCATACCTATTGTGAATAATGCTGCAATAAACATAGGGGTACAGGTATACTTTTAAATTAATGTTTTTGTTTTCCTTGGGTAATTACCCAGCAGTGGGATTGCTGGGTCATGTGGGAGGTCCATTTTAAGCAATTTTTAAAAAGATTTATTTATTTATGCATATAGAACTGGAGTACAGGCCAGAAATGCAGGGGCAGGGAGAAGATTCGCCAGAGACAGAGTGGGGAGCAGAACAAGGGGATCAAACTCACACTGAAGCAGCTGCGGCTAGCTTGCAGTGCTGTGTCCTAACCCATTGCACCAGCAAAGAGGCCCAGCAATTTGAGGAACCTTCACACAACTTTCTATAGTAGTTGGACCAGTTTGCATTTCCACCAGCAGTGCAGGAGAGTTCCTTTTTCTCTGCATCCTTGCCAACATTTGTTGTTGCTAGCTTTTTTTTTTTAATATGTGCCATTCTACTTTGTAAGAGGCCGTTTCATAATTGTGGCTTTGATTTGCATTTTCCTGATTACCAGTGATGTTGAACATTTTTTTCATATGCCTGTAGGCCATGTGCACTTCTTCTTTGGAGAAGTTTATAGATCAGTTTTAAATGGACATAGACTTTCATTTCTAATGAGTAAATTCCCTAAGGATGGGATGGCAGGGTCAAATGGGAATAAGTGCACAGTTAACATTTTAGGAAAGTTGTCACATCATTTTTGGTTCTAACAAGTGGAGTATAGTTTGAACTCCCCAGTATACACTTAGATTGGTCAGTGGTGAACATTCTAGTAGATCTGGTCAATTGTGTTATGGCCAATTTTGCACATTTAACATTCCACTGACTGGGACTTTTATTTGCACTTCCTTCCGCTCTAATAATGTGGAGCTTCTAATCGTGTCTCTATTTGACCAAGCATTTGTTCAAATCTTTTACCCAATTTTGAAATTATTTTTTTGTTCCAAAATTGAGCCCTTTGAAAGTTTTTCTCATATTTCTTTCAAGTGCTTTATCAAATATGTTACTCAAAAGTATTTTCCTCCACTTATTATAGTCATATTCTTAAACCTGTTATTCATAAAAACATGCTGAAGTCCCATTTTCAGTACCTTTTTATACAAATTTAAACTGTTTTTGCTTTCATTAGAAACCTTTGCTAAACCCAAGTCCACAGGATTTTACCCCATATGTACTCCTAATTTTTTTAATTTGAGATTTTATTTTTAAAGTATTTTCTATTTTAATAATTTTTCATTTTATACTCAGTGCAAAAGGTGGCTGGAAGTTCACTGCGTTGACTATGGATGTTCTGTTCCTACAACACCCTTTGCAGAAAAACTATTTCCCCCACTCAACAGTACTTGCTCCTCTGTGACATGTCAGGGGCTACCCAGCGAACTTGTTTATGGGCTGTCCTGCTCATTGACCTGTTTTTTCTTCCGTACTCTAACCAAAGTCTGACTTGATTACCATATTCTATGATCAGGTCATACATTTCACATTTCTCATCTTATCCTCTTCTCAAAGCTGCTTTAGCTATTCCGGCTTTTCTTCATCTCCTTCAGAAATCTACAATCAGCTGTCAATTTTCATTGAAAATGAAAGAAAGAAAATCTGGTAATTCTTTATTGGGATTTCAGTTCCTATCATTCTCTTGTCAGAGCTATTTAGCTATTTCAACTTGCTTGTATCTCCAGAAAACTAGAATCAGCTTGCCAATTTTCACTAAAAAAAAAAAAGTCTGCTAGTTCTTTTATGGGATTTCAATGCTTATCATTGATGATTTTTGACCAGAAATCTTATTTTTATATTTACCAATTTATGAATATTTCTATTCTTCATTTCTTTGTGAATTTTCTAGTTGTCTCATATAATCACCACCTTATATGTAAAGAATACCCTTGGGATTTCCACTAGTATAAACCTGCTAGTATTTTGTTGGTTTGTTTTTCTACAAATTTCTTTATTTCACATTCAGTTTTGTTGACTATATTCCATGTGGGTAGAGTTAGTAAAATAATGTATTTACTGTGTGTATGTATGTGTATATATATATATAAAATATATATAATTTCCTCATCTTCTGATTTCCTTCATTCCTGGGAGCTGCTATTATTGATAAGCTGTTTCTCTGGCTTAGGTGTGTAACAATGGCCATTTCATCTCCAGTCACACTAGGTCCTCACCTCTCCCTTGAAAACGTGGTACAGTTCACTCCTGCAACTCTACTAACATGTAAACAGTGGGAAGGTTCCCAATCCTGCATGTCCTAATCACATGAACAGTGGTGCAAGTGATCTGGGTAATTATGTAACAGGAGAGAAGACATTAATTTAGTTATACATTAAGTCAAGTCAGAAAATTGAGGAGGAACAAAGAAAGGAAGGAGGAATGTTAGGAGCATTACTTCACCAGTATAATGGTATTCATTTTATAGAGAGGTATCATAAAAAATATTTACCTCTGTATATATATATATATATATATATATTTATATATATTTATATATTTAAAGATTTATTTATTTATTCGTACAGAACTGGGGTACAGGCCAGAGATGCGGAGGGTGAGAGGATTCATCAGAGACAGAGTGGGGTACAGAACAGGCAGATAGACAAGGTACACTGCTGAGGGGAGCAGCGGGCGGGTCAGGAGAGGTCTGCCTCGCCATGTGGATCTCTTTCGGGGCAGGCGGGAATCGAACTCATGCGGAAGTGGCTTAAGCTTCTTTGTGCTGTGCTTTAACCCGCTGCGCCACCAGGGAGGGCCCTACCTCTGTATATTTATGTGAATGGATTATATGTATCTGTAGTAGCAAATATTATTTTCATATTGCAGAGGTCATATATATTATGTATAAAATAAATACTCCCCAATTTATATAATTTTATTCACACACATCTCCATAACTTCCACTCAGAAAATTGTAATCATGGTTTATTACATTGTTTTCAGCCCTTCATTTTTGTGTTGCTGGCTAACATGTTTACACGAACTGTATTAATTTGAAATTTATATTCATGATATATATATATGTATGTATTCGCTCTAAATACCACTGGAATAAGATCTAGAACATATCTAGCACTTCAGAAAGTTTCTTTCTTAGAAAGAACTAAACCATTTACTGAAAACAGAAAATTTTCAAACTTCCATCAATATAGATTTATTTAAGACAAGTTAACTAATATCAGACCAATTTAGAAGGAAATACAGATAGGAGTTATCAAAGGTTTACTGGAAATGTCAGGTTTTTAAAATTGGATTTTCTATTTACATCAGCAGAATTTTATATGACACTCATTCTAGCTCCCTCCTTGCCTTGACCATGAGGAGGTCAAGGAGAGAGGCAGGTTGCCCAGGTATGGTGGGACAGAGGAGTTACCATGTTCACCTTGCCAGCTGGCATCTACTACTCTGACTTCAAGCTCTCTGCATGGTACAGTAAGGTATTCTGTATGGCAAACATTGTTAAGAAAAATCAGAATTCTTGAAAATCAGTCTGGGTAACACAAAACTATATAAGTCAGCAGAGAGGGTGATGGGGAAGGCCAACTTCCTGATACTGTTCAAGCAGCCCAGATTCAACTGGACTTTCTGAACTCCTGTCAAGTTGTAATAGCTGTAATTGTCCATTTGACTGTATTTTATTAGCACATTTAGTTCAAGTGTTTTGACATAAGGAACTTCACCCGGTTAACAAGGGTTTCCAGGGCACGTTTCATGTCTCTGTTTCTCAGGCTGTAGATAAAGGGGTTCAGCATGGGCGTGACTACCATATACATCACAGAACCAATTATGTTATCATTACTGGAGGGAGATGATGATGAGGAAAACAGATAAACTTCTGAAATGGTCCCATAGAATAAAGACACAACGAGGAGATGAGAGCCACAGGTAGAAAGAACTTTGAAGAATTTCTTAGCTGAGGGGTCTCTCAGGACGGTGGTCCAAATCCGGATATAGGAGCCCAAGATACCACTCACAGGTAAGATGACAAGCATCCCTCCCTCAGTGAGTATTAATAACTCGTTGAGGGAGACATCTGAGCAGCTCATCTTCAGGAGTTCAGAGAGATCACAGAAGAAGTGGGGGATGGTATTGTCAGCACAGAAGGACAGTCGGGCCAGGAGCAAGGTGTGCAACAGAGAGTGGACACAACAGAAGAGCCAGGACCCAGCAACTAAGGAGACACACAGCTCCGGCCTCATGATGGTGGTGTAGTGCAGGGGCTGACAGATGGCCACGTACCTGTCATAGGCCATCACTGCCAGAAGGAGATTGTCAAGACAAACAAGCAATATGAAAAAATACGCCTGGGTAATGCACCCTGCATAGGGGATGGATTTGTCATTAGTGTGCATGTTGGTCAGCATCTTTGGGACAGTGACGGATGAGAAGGAGACGTCAGCAAGGGCCAAGTGACTGAGGAAGAAGTACATGGGGGTGTGAAGGCGCGAGTCCAGCCTGATGAGCAGGATGATGAGCAGGTTCCCCAGCACCGTGGTTAGGTAAATGCCCAGGAACAGGGCAAAGAAGACCCCCTGCTGCTTGGGACGGATGGGGAGCCCCAGGAGGAGGAACTCGGACACGCTGCTCTGGTTCTCCCGCTTCATCTTGTCCGTGTCTCTGCTGGAGATGAAGGAAAGAGGGTAAAGCAGGAAGCCAGGAATTAGCCAGAACATTATAACGATGGGCTGATTACATGACAGTGTTGTATTTTAGACAGTCCTAGTTTATTGCTCCCACTTATTGATGTCTGAAAACCAGCCCGTCACATCCAGGTTCCCATGTTACATGACACAAAATAGCAAGGTTGCTTTCCATGGGAACCAGAGGGCATTTTTCTTCATTCTGCTAGTATGTTTGAACTATAACCCACTCGAGGCACCATACAAAGCACACAGTTAATATAAAAAACAGGAAATTAAGTCTCTGCATATAGCTAATTTGCATATTACTGTCAGGCTAAGTCAAATGTCCATCACTGGAATGATATGGAGACGTTATGGAAAAGCATCTGAGGCACACAAAACCTTTCCTCTTAACGAGGCGAGAGTCCCTCTAAATTGGAACACAAGTGCTTATTGTAGAAGTATCAGGATCCTTACTGGTCAAAGGTACTTAATATTCTGGGCATGTAAAGTCAACCCATTTCCAAGCAGAGACATAATAATGTGCAATGTTGGCATTATCTCATAATATGTAGACAAATTTCAGCATGCCCTAGTTAACCAGTATTATCACACCCATTTTAATGTTGAGGAACAAAAGACACATTTCCTAGTGTGCAAAACAGCATCTCTAATAAGTAAAAATGGTGAAATGACAACGTGTATGTAACAAGAATCCCTCATTCAGCACTTGTCCCTTTGGACAAGCTGTGTGACCCCATTTGCCTCTCTTTGGTCCTAGATTTTTCAGTCATTTTGATCTGTATTAAGAAGAGCTTTCAGTAACAACTGTACACCAGAGATAGTCTACGGGGAAGGAGAAGGGAACAGGATCAGAAACAGGCTGGGAAGAGCACACAGAGCTGTGGTGATGGCACAGGGGTGTAAAAATGTATTTATAGAATAAATTAAAAAAGAAGAGCTTTCACACAACTTTAAAGTAGATCTATATCTAGTCGCTGCATGTTACATGGGAAAGTCCTATGCACCATGTTTCCAAACTTCTTCTTGTGTGGGAGACAGCAGTGAAGTGGGGATCTGCATGACACTCGCACTGACTGAAAAAGGAATCCTACTGATCACCAGTCGTGAGCCTTGTGTGACGCTGGTTCCTCTGTGTGCATGGTCTCGTTTATTCCTCAAAATACCATTTTGAGAAGGAGAAGTTCCATTTTAAGAGGGAGAAGTTACCCCCTTTCCCAGGGGGGATCTGGTTGTCAGAGAGCAAACATGCAGGGGCCAGATGAGGACCTGCTGCAGGTGCTGAGGTCCCATCATCATGCACCTGCTGGTGGCGATGCCTGGGAACCTTCCTCCAAAGCGCAACAGGACAGTGTTGAAAGATGGAAAAAGTGATCCCAGTGAGACTCTGGGCACATCAGCTGGCAGCTTCCACCACAGAAGCAAGATTTACAGATTAAACATCAGCACAGTCTCTCTCTCTCTCTCTCTCTCTCTCTCTCTCTCTCTCTCTCTCTCTCTCTCTCTCTCTCTCTCTC